GGGACTTCATGGCTCCTTTCTTTTCTGTCTTTTTAGAAAATTTCTCAGATATGCAAAGGAGCACTCCTTTTGTTGGTTTTCTGTAACCTCTCCCTGAGTGAGATATGTTAATTATGAAGGATAGAAGGCATTCTAACAAAACTACAAACTGCAAAAAAACTACAAAAATACAAAGAGTATTCCTTTTGTTTGTTTTTGTTGGGTTTTGTTGTTGTTTTGGTTTTTGTCTCATTGACCAAGAATCTTTCTCCTTGGAGATGAAATCAGATCTTGGATTGAGTGTGACGTTACCTGGAGCTCTTCAGTAATGGGTTTTAAAATGTGGTTTTCTTCAGTTTTTTTCCTTGAATGCCTCTGTGTTCTAGGAAATCTTGAGTTAGGCAAGTGAGTTGATCAAAAACAGAAACGTATGATTGGGCACAGAACCCCTCCTGTATGTGTTAGATCAGTCATCCCCTGCAATTACCTAGCTTGGGGGGAAGAGTGACTCTTCTACCCAAAAATGTCAGATGAAACTATTGTTGAACAGATCTAGTAAGGCTGTTGCAGAGTGTGAAACTAGGGAATGAAAGTCTGACCACACCTATCCTGTAGTGTATCGTGATTTCTCAGGAAGAGAAGGGCCATGAGATGGCAGTAGGCCTAATATTCTTCAACAGGCATTGGCATTAATATGGAGATTCACGCTCCATGGCTCAGTGTTGTTTTAGAAGCTCTTCTAGTTATAAGAACCTGCCAGTATTTTACTAAAAGATGCTATAAACTTATAGTCTCCTGTGAGCCCGAAAGCAGATTGGTTACCTCATGAATTCCAGCTTGATTTGGTGATGTGAATGCTGTCTGCATTCCCAAAAGATGCATCCTAGCGAAATTTCAGGTCCTAAAAGGAAATGTGCATTCATTGCTGTGGTCCCTTCCAGAAAGTTCCATAGATCATGATTAGTCATAGTGTGGTAAAGGATTTTTTTTTTTCTCGAGTCAGATTAAACACCATGTCCTGAAAGATCGCTCCAAAATTATAGTTTATTGAAGAACATGCGTGTATCAGATATGGGGCAGTAAGGGTAAAAGA